GGATAAAGAAAACCTGGTCTGCAAATGCACTGGAATACTATCCAGCCCTCCACCTAAGGAAATCCTATCATTTACAACAATATGGATGAAGCTGGAGGACATTATGTTAAGTGAAATAATCCAGGCTCAGGAAGCCAAATAACCACTATTTGATAGCTGAGAGACAGTCAATCTTCAGACAAAAGTGTTCAAGTTAAACTTTGCAAATATTCCTTATGAACTTGTGAAAGGCAAGTAACAACTAGCAATGAAGCAAATAACAGAGAATCCTAGGCTGGCCATGGCCTGACCTACCAAGAGGTAGAGAGGTAAAAATACAATCAACAGAAGCCATTCAACCTTTGTCCATTCATGAATTCAGCATGCATTGAATCATTTCTCTGTGGTAGAGGAAGAGAATCAGCAGCTAAAAAGGGACCTTAAACTCCAGGATTCCATGACTAAAAAATATAACATCCCCTAAAAATATTCTGTTCTTTAAGAAAAAGAACAATGTGTTTCCTTTTTGGGATTATCAGATGACCCGAATTTAAACTCCACATCATTCTCTCCTCCTATTTTGTGCCATATCACTTTATCCAAGGGCACAGTAAGGGCAAGAGTCAGAGAACAGACTTATAAAAATCAAATAAATATATCTGCATTTTGTTCTAAAATAAATAAAAGAAAGTTCTACTGTTAAGCAAGAGAGCCTCCCTTTAGTTCAGCTTGGTTCAGGTCTTGAGCCATCACCAAGAGGCATAATTTGCAGGTTCCCCTGCCTTCCACAACTCTGCACCCCAGATATGCCTTTCTTACCACCTGCCACATAATTTAACTCTCCCTTTTCCTGGGATATCTCCAGGGGTTTTCGTTTTTACTCTTAACAGCTCATCAGTGTAAAGAAGTTGCTGGAGAAGACACCTGGCTGTTAGGATTCCTGTGGGTTGGATGATTAAAATGTAGGCAAGTTCCTTGGCACACAGTCATTAACTAAATTATTATTCATTCAAGTTCTATTCATTGCTTATTTTTCCTTCCTGTTGAATTCATTGCCTTGGACAGAAGCCCCTGAGAAACCAGCTTAATAGGACACTAGACTCATATGTCTAATGGATGCTTCGTTCTGCTCAAAGAAGGAAATGTGCTTAACTGTTCACTGAGTGACTTCTCATTTCTCCCCACCTCCTCATCATCTTCTGAGCTGCCTTATTTTCACCTGCTCTTGCAAGACTCTCATCTTCCCTATTTACTTGGGTCTCACTGAAATGCATGACAGCACATTACTCAGTTACAGAAGTTTATTAAAACAGAACAAAGCATTTTCAATAAGCAGAGCCTTGAGTTGAGCAGGGAGGGAAGGGTCCCTGATCAACCTGACTTTAGCGAAATAGAGTACAAGCTCTGTGGTGATAGGAATTGAGAGATTCTGTGGGAGTTCTCTACAGCATCCTCACTGACTAGCCATGATGGAAAAAGTCAACACTAGCAGCTCCATTGCTGTGGTCAGATACAGCATGCAGGATTCCATGGGGTTCTCAAGTTCATACCCTGGCCAAGTTCATTCACCAAGCCACTAACCACCTCAGAGACTCAGTTTCCTTTGCTAGGGAAAGGAGACATAAATCACACCTGAACATTATTGGGATGTTAACAACATGAGTCATAGGTTGCAAAAATGTGAAGATCAGTTTATGATAAGCAGCATTTTTTAAATGATAATATAGCCTTAAGGTGGTCATATATTAAACTGCTCTTCCCTAGGTGATATACCAACCCAAGCCAGCTTTCTAATTAATTTTATCTAAAATTAGAAACTTGGGGGAATTCTACAAAAAGGTACAGGTTTTTTTTTTCTTTTAGGAACCTGAAGAATACCAGTGATACTAGAAAGGGTACATTGGTTTCTAGCAAAAATGCGAAACATGTAAAAATCCATGTACTTCAGATGCAACCTAAGGATGTGGGCCGTAGAGAGCATAGCACGACTATTTCTCAGTTGGGTCGATTTTTACACTGTAGCTTTCTTCAGTGAATGATAGAGTTGGATGAATAAATACTGAATACATTTCCCCAAGGTTGTGCCAGGCCACGTGTCTGAAGATACACTGTGGTCCAGCAACCTTGTACAGATAAAAGATAACTCATTGTTATTTCACAAGCTTTAGGAGCTGGATCCAAGCTACCTTCCAGGCTTATCTCCTGTTCATTCCCTATAGCTGTGCGATGACCACACCAGTACACCTATGCTTTGGGGAAGCAGTGAATTCTATATTATTCCATACCTCTCTGCCTAAACGCATGGGGGTTTATGCATTCCTGTGCTATACTAACATGTTTATTCCTTTTGCTGACTTCTAGTCCTCACCTGGCACTTCTAATCTTAGTCATCCAACCTGTATGTATCCCAGATTCTGGCAGACTGTGGTTATCTCTGTTACTGAATTTTTCATACTGATCCATTTGTTCCTCACTAACTTGTTTTTTGGTGACGTTTTTGTGTCTATCCTCAAGGATAGAAACTGCAATGTCCCTGACCTTCTCTGCACCATGGTCTGTTTGGCACTGAGCGGACAATCAGTAAATATGAACAAATACACCTGTGTCAGATGGAGCAGTGCACATAGCTGCTTCTAAAACAAATGACTCTCCAGAGCTGTTTATCACAGCCTCCTGCCTGTCCTGGGACAATGGATGACACTGGAGAAACTGAATCAGAATCTCAGCCTCTGCTCTCACGTGGGGGTGACAGGAAGAACTTCCTATTCTCGTCTCACCTGGACATTGCAGCAAGATGTTCAGCTAGCAGGCCAGCATTGTGGAACAGTTGGCTAAGCCACTGCCTGCAATGTCACCATGCCATGTCAGAGTGCCAGTTTGAGTCCTGGCTACTCTACTTCCAATCCAGCTTCCTCCTAATTCTGGGAAAGAAGAGGGTGATGGCCAAAATACCAGGCCCCTGCCACCCATGTGGGAAACCAGGATGGAATTACAGGTTCCTGATTTTGGTTTGACCCAGCCCCAGCCTTTGTGGCCATTTTGGAGTGAACCAGCAGATAGAAGATGGATGGATCCCTTTCTCTCTCTCTCTCTCTCTCTCTCCTTTTTCTCTCTTTCACTCTGCTTTTTAAATAAATAAAATAACTCTTAAACATTTGAAGGGATGTGTGTTCAGAGGAGGTGCACATGTAAGAATGTCAATGGACAGAAAGGCTGGAATCAGACGGGAAGCCATTAGTAGTAGAAAGTGCTATGGCGTAGCAGGTAAAGTCACCGCCTGTAGTGCTGGCAACCCATATTGGCACTGGTTCAAGACCTGGCTGCTCCACTTCTGATCCAGCTCTCTGCTATGGCCTGGGAAAGCAGTGGAGGATGGCCCAAGTCCTTGGGACCCTGTACCTGCATAGGAGAACCAGAAGAAACTCCTGGCTCCTGCCTTCGGATTGGCACAGCTCCAACTGTTGTGGCCAATTGGGGAATGAACCAGCAGATGGAAGACCTCTCTCTCTCTCTCCTTCTCTTTGCTTCTCCTTCTTTCTCTGTATAACTCTGACTTTCAAATAAATAAATAAATCTAAAAATTAAAAAAGAAATTTCCAGAGAAGTCACATGATACCATGATCGTTCTCTGCCCCTTCTGGGTGCAGTAAACGAAGCCTTGTCCAATTAATCTGTAGGTCACAGAGACACCAAGGCAGTGTTCAAAAGACAGACATGATATAAAGAAGGTCTCCACCACAGGAAAAGAAATAGAGAGTGAAAATCAAGTCTTCAGCCAAGAAGGGAGTCAAAAACAGTGCTGAGTAAAAGAAACTTTCCCTGTCTTCAATTGAGAGAAGGAGAGGTAGAGAGAGAGGTCTTCCATCCACTGGTTCACTCCCCAGATAGCCGCAATGGCCAGAGCTGCACTGATCCAAATTCAGGAGCCAGGAGCTTCCTCCAGGTCTCCCACGTGAGTGCAGGGGCCCAAGGACTTGTGCCATCTTCTACTGCTTTCCCAGGCCATAGCAGAGAGCTGGATCTGAAGTGGAGCAGCCGGGACTAGAACCGGTGCCCATATAGGATGCTGGTGCTTCAGGCCAGGGCTTTAACCCACTGTGCCACAGCATCGGCCCCTTTACTTTACATTTAAGCTCCTATGTCAGCTCTTCCAATTACACACCACAGAATGAAGGTACTTCCCTTTGAGCCTGCATATCAGCAGAGAGTGTCTGATAACATATACAGTGAAGATGAACTCAGGGAGTCAAAGCACAAGTGAACCTCAGCTGATGGGAGCAGGGCACCTGAGGATATTTTCCTCTCAACACAGCCATTTAACACTTCCACGCCTACACACCTACATGCCTACCAAGCTTGTAGATGTCATTGTATTGTGATTCCTGCTCTTGAAAACATTCCTAGTTTTGGGATGCTTGCCACCCACAGGGAAGACTAGGATTAGGCTCCAGGTTCCTGGCTTCAATCAGGCTTGATCTGAGTGGTACAAGTGTTTGAGGATTGAACCAGCGGATGGAAGATTGGGAAGATCTCTCTATCTCACTCTCGCTCTCGCTCTCACTCTTGCTCTTTATATCTGTCTGCCTCCCTCTCTTTCAAAAACTCAATTGAAAAAGAAGAGAGCACTGAATTACGAGTAAAACATCAGTGAGAGAACTGGGGAAATGTCTGACTAATTACACACCCCTGTCTCTGTCAGTCCCTCCTCCAAGACTGTGCTTCACCTGTTACAGAAACACTACCTAGATTACAGAACTCAGTATCCCATTCCATTTCTTTAGAGTGGAAGGGGCAGGATATGTGGAGGTAATGGTGTGACCACATGCCTTTTTGTTATCCCCTCAGTTATGGCACCCAAAACACTAGAACTGGCCATCTCCAAGTTAAAAACCATCACAGCCATTAGGGAGCCTCTGTTCATATTGAATTTCTCATCTGCACCCTTCTCTCTGTAGGGAAATTTCACAGATCAGTGCATATGCTTTCTTCCACAAATGCAGAAAGTTCACAGTTCTCATTACCATCCGTCCTTGTCTGTGTCACAGTTGCAAAAGTGTGGAATATCCAGGCAACTCTCATCCAGGCCACATTCACACTGCTGGACCCCCGGAGGGGCATCTCCCCAGTACGGATGCCTTTCACTGGACCGCCCGACCCACCAGATGAATGGTGCTCCATCTGAAAAACAAGAAATTTCACAAGTCATGGAGAGGGTGTCACAGTGCTTGAAGATAGATATATATACATATATGTATAATATTATTCACACAAATACATGTAAACAATGATTTCATCAGAAGTATTTATCTTAGAGATTCTTCAAAACTTCATAAGCACCTAACTAAAGGAGTCCATTTTGTTGCAAAAACATTTTAAAATTCATGTGTAGTTTGTTCATGATATACATTTTTCATTAATTTGTCAAATCTCCATATAGGCATGAATATCAAAAATAATTTACATGAAAATAAAATTATCTTTTTTAAAAAAGATTGATTTATTGATTTGAAAGACAGAGTTACAGAGAGAGAAAGAGAGATGAGAAAGATTTTCCATCTGCTGGTTCACTCCCCAAATGGCTACAAAGGCCAGGCTAGGCTGATCCAAAGCCAGGAGCCAGGAGTTTTTTACACATCTTCCATGTGGGTGCAAGAGCCCAAGGACTAGGGCCATTTTCCACTGCTTTCCAAGGTGCATTAACAGGGAGCTGGATTGCAAGTTGAGCAGGTTGCCAGTATGGGATGCTGGTGGCAGCTTTACCCACTGCACAACATCAACCTCAATAAACTTATCTTTCAATTTAATTTTCCACAAACTGCTTGTTTCATTCTTTATTTGTTTATTTTACTTGTTTGAAAAGCAGAGGAGAGCGAGAGCTCCCATCTACTGGTTAATATCTTTACTATCTCCGCTGGCCACGACAGGCCAGGCTGAAGCCAGGACCTTAGAACTCAATCTAAACATTCCATGTCATCCTCCATTGTCTCCTAGGATACAGATTAGCGGGAAGTTGGAAACAGGAGCACTTGATATGTGAAGCAGATATCCCAAGAAATGTCTTCCACTATGCTAAGTGTTCACTTTTCTTTTGAAATGCTATTGTATAGTCAAATATTAATGAAAATGAAAGGATAACTAATTAATATTCTGACTACAACAGACCTTGTAAATTGGACTGGATTTTACACACACATGCGCACACACACACAGTAAATGCATGTATTTTAAAAAGTAATTTCCTTTCAAAAATTGTCAAAGACAAAACAACTGATCCAGGGCAAAGATCAACTAATGTCCTCAGTTTCTGGAAATGAATGAGGAGTGTGTAGAGAAAGGTGAGGGCAGTGTTGATTTAGATAAGAGGAGTGGTCTTGGGGCTGACGCTGTGGCACAGTGGCTCAACGCCCTGGCCTGAAGCGCTGGCAACTGGGGAGTGAACCATCGGATGGAAGACCTTTCTCCCTCTCTCTTTCTCTTCTCTCTCTGTGTAACTCTGACTTTCAAATAAATAAATAAATCTTTAAAAAAAAAAGAGGGGTGATCTTCACATTCTTTCCAGTGATTTTTATCATTATTAAGAACACTCAGAGCTACTCTATCTTCTGAATTTTTAAACAGAAATCAGAAATTTCAAGTTCAAACATACTGGGGAGAGGCCGGCACTGGTGAAGTGTGTAAAGTAGCCGCCTGCAGTGTCAGCATCCCATATGGGCACCAGTTCGAGTCCTGGCTGCTCCACTTCAGATCCAGCTCTCTGCTATGGCCTGGGAAAGCAGGAGCAGATGGCTCAAGTCCTTGGGCCCCTGCACCCGCATGGGAGACCCAGAAGAAGCTCCTGGCTCCTGACTTTGGATTGGCACAGCTCTGGCTGTTGTGACCATCTGGGGAGTGAACCAGCAGATGGAAGACCTCTCTCTCTCTCTACCTCTCTTTCTGTCTGTGTATAACTCTGACTTTCAAATAAATAAATAAATCTTAAAAAAAAGATACTGGGGAAAAATAGAAACACTGGGAAAGCCAACAATGCATGGTCCAAAGAATCCCTTGTAAAAGCCATTTTTAACCCCTGAAAACTGCTAAGCCCCTCTGCTTCCCAGTTAATAAAGTTAATTCATAATCATTTTGAGTCTCACCTTTGTCAATTTATTTCCTTACTACATTTAGTGAAACCTATGGAATTTTATTTTCTGATTTAACTTAGTTTAGTAGCTTAGAATTATCCTTCAAATACACAGGCAAAGAAAGAGGTCGAGTTGTTAGACACCACTGCTCAGTGTTAGGCCTGACTTCCCTTTAGTCATGGCTGTCTTGTTTATGTCGGTAAAAGGTTTATGTAAAAGGTGCATAAGATTTGTTGATTAAATTTAAAATGAAACAATTACTTAAGGATTTTTTTCATGATTTGCCATTTTAAAGTAATACTAACTCAAGATGTTATTGGTTTGAAATTTTGTCTAATCAAGATTTGATTTTATGCAAGGATCCCTGCCTACAAAAATATAATTTACAAGTAAGTTTACAAATATATAATATGTATATATTTAAATGATAGTCCCTCAAAAATATGACTGATGATCTACATATTTTAGCCATGATTCTAGGGACGAAAGATAAGTCACGTGCTTAAAAACCAAAACAAAGAAACAGGCAAAATGTGCCTGTTTGCAATAAGAAGAAACCAACACAATCATAATCAAATAATTTAGGAATTAGGAAGAAAACATATGAAAAAATATATATAGCAAGATAGGGGAATCAAGTATGCTGTCGAGAAAGATGTGTTGCACTTTCTTTAAAAAATTATTTTTTGAGCCGGCGCCGCGGCTCACTAGGCTAATCCTCTGCCTTGCGGCGCCAGCACACCGGGTTCTAGTCCCGGTCGGGGCACTGGATTCTGTCCCGGTTGCCCCCCTTCCAGGCCAGCTCTCTGCTGTGGACAGGGAGTGCAGTGGAGGATGGCCCAAGTGCTTGGGCCCTGCACCCCATGGGAGACCAGGAGAAGCACCTGGCTCTTGCCATCGCATCAGCGTGGTGCGCTGGCTGCAGCGCGCCGGCCGCGGTGACCATTGGAGGGTGAACCAACGGCAAAGGAAGACCTTTCTCTCTGTCTCTCTCTCTCACTGTCCACTCTGCCTGTCAAAAAAAATTATTTTTTTGAGAGGGAGAAAAGAAAGACAGAGATAAAGAAGATGCAGTCACAGCTCCCTCCACTAATTCACTCCCCAAATACCTACAAAAGCCAGGGCTGAACCAGCGCCAAAGCCAGGAGACAGGAATTCAAGCTAAGTCTCCCATATATGTGGCTTGGATGCAACTGCTTGAACATCACCTGCTGTCTCTCAAGACCTGTGTTGTTATGAAGCTGGAGTCATGAGCTACAGTTGAGAATTCAACCAGTCCTATATGCGACATGGGTGTCTTAACCACTACTCTAAATTTCTGCTCCCTGTGTTGCAATAATAGGAAAAGATAAATTCTTGGCAAGAATTGAAGAGATGAATAAGTCACTCATGGGCACCTGCAGTAAGGAATCAGTCAGGGGAAATGGGCAATGGGAAAACTATAAAGAAATCAGGACAATTTCTAAAACATATGTAGCCCAGATCTTAAACTTCTTTTCAAAATGCTGAGGAAGCACTAACAGGAAGCTTTAACAGGAAAAATCAAAATGGGCAACAGAAAGCAGGTAAAACAGAACTTCCATTACTCAGGGTGATTCATTCTCAGAGTTTCAAGCCAAAAGGTACTTTTAGCAAGACACTGGGCTGCCACAGATTCATGAACATGCAAGAAATGGGCTGTGACTTAGGCACAACCATGTGGCAAAACTGGACCCATGAGAGAATGCTGTCCAGCTGACAGCTCTTGAACAGCAAAGGCCAACAGCAGACTCAACTGAGGCAGATGAGCCACCGGCACCACAGCCATGACCCACCAAGGATATTGGAACAGTAAGCCCTAGAATTCCAATGACAGATGTGGCTGAGGCCACTGCACCCACACAGAGCCTGCTCCCCTCTCAGAGCTTCCTGCAGCTGGGTCTGATGGGTGAAGCACCTGCCATGTGCCTGAGTCCCAGCAGGAAGGGAACACTGGGGATCTGAATTCCAACTTCTTCACTGTAGAGTCAGGACTCACAGTATGAATTTCCCTAGTGCAGAACACTACTTAAGAGAATAAAAGCACAAAAAGATAAATACCATATATTCTCTCTGATGTGTGGTAGCTGATAGAGTCCCTAAAAGGCAATCTACAGGAGTGGAACTGGCCCCTTGAGATGCGATGATTTTGAGCAGCTCTTGTCTTGATTGTCAAGGAACAATGCTTTTCTTGTTGATTTGTTTCTCTTCTTTTTTTCTTTTTTCTTCACTACCTGGTAAACTCTCTACTTAGTGTAGAGTTAATCTTAAGAGTATAAAATAAAATGAAAACTGACCTTTGTAAAAAATAAGAATGGGAAAGGGAGAGGGAGAAGGAAGAAGGCTGGAGTATGGGCGGGAGGGAGGCAGAGGGAAGAAGTACCACGTTCCCAAAGTTGTATATATTATATGCATGAAGTTTGTATTCCTTAAATAAAATTTTTAAAAATTTAAGAAAAGACTAAAAGCAAGCATCAAATAGACAACTGTACTAGGAAACCAGACAGACAATAAGTGTAACTTAATTAATCAATACTTTAAATACTGAGATTCCATTTCTTCTATAAAATGAAGTCATTGGGGAATACTTCTATAAAATGAAGTCATTTTGCCTATTACCTTGATGGGGAAGCTTTTTATGCCTGGGGTCATTTGGATATTTATAACAGCATTTGCGGGCCATACAAAATTGTCAACTGGGGGGCGGCACTGTGGTGCAGCAGGTTAAAGTCCCTGCCTGCAACACTGGCATCCTATGTGGACAATAACTGGAGACCCGACTGTTCCACTTTCAGTCCAGCTCCCCGCTAATGTGCCTGGAAAAGCAGCAGAGGATGGTCCAAGTCCTTGGGCCCCTGCACCCACATGGGAGACCCAGAAGAAGCTCCTGGCTCTTGGTTCCTGGCTTCACGTTGACTCAGCTCCAGCTGTTGCAGCCATTTGGAGAGTGAACCAGTTGATGGAAGACCTCCCCCACCCCATCTCTATCTCTACCTCTCTTTGTAACTCTTTTTAAAGTCAATAAAATAAATCTTTTTT